CAGCACGGCGTGCAGGGCACGGCGGCGGTTGCGGGGGTTGCGGCCGTGAAGAGCTGCCCCTCTTGTACTGTTGTTTTTCCCAGTGTTTTCTATCGTGTGGGGCGATTTTGGTACCCTAAATCAACCAGACTTTCCTTAGAAACTCGACTAAATTAGGGCATGGCCTTTAGCTGCTTATTTCTGCCTTGCCAGCTGTGCTAACACACCTGTACATAGGGCCCTGCTGTAAACTGAAGCACTGGAATCATCCTTTCCCTCAAGGGTCGCACTGCTGCTGCTGCACAGCCGACTGCACCGCAGGAATGGGAATGAATGGGGAAAAGTAGGACAGAAACGTCTTTTTTTTCTTTTTTTCTTTTTTTCTTTTTTTTTTTTTCCCCGCTTGAGCTTGCTTTTCAGTCAAGTCTCTGCATAACCAACCTCTAGGCACGGTGTGAACTGGTTTCTGCCAGAACTGTATCAAAAACTGCCAGAGTTGAAACTTAATTTAGAGTTAATAACTTTAATTATGTTTGTATATTACTGTAGAAGTGAGGCACCTTTTGCCTAGTTCTAGTTTTTCAGTATGTCGTATAAAATGTTAATTCACTAGTGTTAAGTATACAGTGAACTTTCTTTTGGACATGATCTTCCTTCTTTTGCTTTTGCTTCTCTTTTTTCAGATTACTGGGAAGTCAGACTTTTTTAATAGAAACTTCCAACTTGAGCTATGTCAGAATCATTTTCTGAACTTTAAAACTTTAGCATTTCAGGGTTCTGTAATTATCATGTGGGATGTATTTACTGCTTCATAGAAGGAACATGACCTGTAATATTGCCTTAAAGTCATGGACAACTGGGAGCCTGTAATGCATGTAACAATGAGAAAATTATTTGAAGAAACACTATGAGTGTGTCTTAATTTATCATTTTATTTTCTGGATCAGGTGTAAACAATGGACAATGACTTCGTGGACTATGAGTGTGTCTTAATTTATCATTTTTGGATCAGGTGTAAACAATGGACGATGACTTCGTGGCTTCCTCCACACCCCCATTTCTCACTGAAAGCTTGGAGATGGCAATGGAGGTGGAGAATGAGAACTCAAAGCCGCCTTGTTTCTCCTGTGCTTTTGACAACCAAAATGGAGGGAGAAGCTTCTCTGCAGACTCTTACTTAGCAAGTGGGTCTCTGAAGAGGTATGGGTTTTTTTTAAGTTACAAATATAATACACTTCAAAGATGTTCTTTCCACTGATGTTTGGTGCTTCTAAACGCTGACAGGGTTTCCAAATCAGTTTGTTCTACAGCAGTTAGGATCCTGAAATCAAGTTGGTGGTATACCTAAGCAGGAAGGGCAATTGTGTTGATACACTGCTTCAGTGTTCTTGCTCCAGTTCCTAGCTTGGTGAACTTATAGATATTGTAAAGGACCTCTTACAGGCCTGTTAGGTATCCAAGACCTCTTAAATTTCTGAGGAGGCTCCAGCACTGCTTTTCCCAGTCATACGCTCTATTTGATGCTGGCTCTTTCTTTCTTTTCCACGTGATAGAAACAAACCTCCACTGCCCAGCTTCCCCGGAGCGCTGGGACTGTCCTTTGTAGCTTTAAGGCCATCTTTCTCAAAGCTCTACCTCTGCATGCATTCTGGATTTAAGGTTTGGAAGTCACATACATAACAAGCAAGTATTTTCCATGAGATCCTAAAATGATACTATGGTTTAGTTAATATCTTCTTTACTGCTTGTGATCCAGCTTAGTTTTCTGTGCCATTTACTGATCCTTCATGGATTGTCTTGTTTTTCCTACAAAAGCATAATCTGTCTTTCTGTCCTAGTACTTCCTTTATACCTTTGAATTGAAGACTTAGTTACTGTGGGTTTCTCCTGCTAAGCCTCATATTTTGTGTTGTTTCTTTGGGGTTTTTTAACCTTCATTTCCACAGCCTTTTCTGTAAAGCCTTAAAGAGTGTTCCATTGCACCTCTCCCATTCCCTACCTTATTTATCATCTTTTTTTTTTTGTTGCTGGATCAGAGCCCATTAATTCAAATTGTTGTCAAGTAGAGGATTGAGAGAGCCTTTGTCTGCATGAACATACCAGTAGTAGATTCTACACTGACAAAGAAGCATTAAATGACAGAATCAATTTCATGTGAAAACTCACTGTTTCCCAGATCACTAGAGTCATGGTAATACTGTTCTCCTGTTGTTTATTCATCTTGTCTACTTGGATTGTAAATTCTTGGAAAAGCCTGCATGTGAGGGACTCCTCTGTCTTGATTATATAGAACAGGAGTAACTGGATTTAATTGCTAAAGGCTTCAAACCAGACCAATGTTTAGGTAGTTACCAAGTGAACTACAGGTGTTGTGGGAGGTTGAGCCAATTATTCAGCAGATGCTCTTTTTGCCTCTGAGAACTGAATTGGTAATAGTGCATAGTTCAAGAAGAATATGAATTTGGTGTGTAATATAAATAAAACTACATTTTTTTTTTAATTTTTGAAAATAGGAATATTTCTTGCATCTTAGTGAATTCAGCTTCATCTACGCTGAAATATTTTATGGAAGTCAATAGGAAAATTCTGAAATAATTTGTTTTGCTGTCTTATTATACAGCTTGCTGTGGGGTTTTTTTTGAAAGCACATTAGTGAAATATTTTTATATTTGCACAATAGTAATGTTTAAACAGTCTATATGGACGTCTGATTTTTTCCACTTTGAGTAAAATGGTAATTCTGATTATTTCTTTTTTTTTTCTTCAGCCAGAGCAAGGAGTAGTCATGGCCTAGTGTTAGTTTAAGTTATCATATGAAGTCACATTTTGTGACCCTCATCAGTTCACCTACCTAAAAGCGTTTTTATTAATATGCTTTTCTCTATGCGTTCTATATAAATATTATTATATGTATATAAAGGAACAAATGTATGTTCTAGCATTAGTTAGTAGGTATGTAGTGTATACTGCGAAATATTCCAAACATACACTTAGAGTGGAGCATGTTATCTAACATAGCAGCCTCCTCTGTTAAGGAGAGTGTGTATGTTTTGTCTCAGCCTCTTTGTAAGGATGAAGACGCTTCAAGGTGGTAGCTTGTTAATTTTTGTTTGTTTCTAAAATATACTGTGCCCTGTGACTGTATCCTGGTTTTCTGCTCTTGAAGCTAGGCGTTGTCATATTTTATGTACTGTATATTATATTGCTATAAAAGGTGTAACAGGCTGTCTTTTGAGAGCAGTGCTTCACCTTTCTATCCGTAGTATACATGTTGCTGACATATTGATAAAATATCAGTGATACATAAGCCAGCTGTAGATATTGTATTCTATAGGTTTATTATTGGGGAACATATGACTATTGTTTGCTCTATTTTACAGGGTTTTGCTGAGACTAGATCCTTCTCCAAATGACTATGAAGATGATGTAGTGGAAATGTTTGGCTTTCAGTGGGTTACTGAAACGGCATTAGTTGAATCCTGCGGGCTTCTTTTTGGATTACTTAGGTATGTTGATGTTCATGCATTTTATAATTAATCCACTTCTTAAATTATACCCACCTTAAGTATGTAACAAACTTTTCAAGTTTTCGGTAGTTAAATCATAAAATAGACTGTGGGCTACTCAGTGCATCCAAAAAGATTATGCTGTCTATCTAAGACTCCAGTAAGTGATGGATAAGACAAAGATGGAATTATGGGAAGAAGTAAATTTTGTGTCACAGATTTTTAATATTATGGGACTTAGTAATAGGTTTCTAAGCAGCGTGGTGCGTATTTTAGCTATCACCGGGTAAAAATTGTTAAGTTTAGTAATTACAACAGTGTTGTGATTAATTTAGCAGGCTCTAGCTTCAGAATATGTGAATAAACTATATAAGATTTCCTTGAATGAGATTGTGCTACTGATATAATTGAAGTTGTCTTTTGAAGATTTTAAGTCCTTTTTTTGTGCATGAAGAAAAGTGGAGGTTAAAAATCAAATACTGTAAATGCTGGATGCGGCACTTCCTTCAATTGTTTGGATTAGGATAGCTTCAGCAATCTCTTCAGATACAGTTACTCAGTGTTTGACTAATTCAATGTAGATGTTTAATCTGGTCAATGCAAATACACAGATCACCGATAATCCTCTTTGCTACTGATAATCCTCAGGACGTACAGCACATACAGAGAGTGGATGGGAGAGGAGCTTTTGTGTGATTCCACAAATATATGTGGTATATTCCTTTGATTGTAGTGGATTCTTCCATCCCTTTAGGTTATCACCAACAGCATGAAGTGAAACATCATTAATAGGGTCTGGCTTATAGAAACACGATGGCATAGATGACCAGACTTACATTAAAACCAGTATTATTTATCTTTGCTTGTTTGATGCAAGCTTTGACTTCACTGTGATTTTAAAAAAAAATATTTATAAATATGATATAGAAGGAGATCAGAGGATAACTTAGTTAAAAGAAACACTGTATCCCTTTCTGTATTTAGTCCGATCTGTTTATTAACTGTTTATTAACATGAAATCACTGGACAGTGATGCAGTTGATCTCTTGAATTAAACAAGTTGGGTTTTTTTTTTCTGTAATATAAACTGCTCTGTGATTGTAATAGAGATGAACATAAGGTATAATACATTCTGTTGTGGTTTTTCAGTTATTCAAGCTATGCATGTTTTAAAACCTACCGAACTGGTAGGAATAATGGATTTCAGCTAACTCTTGGCTATGAGAATTTGGTTGCTAAGCTGTCTTTTGGTGTGACAAGTTCTTCTGCAAAGATATTCTCTCTTTCAGTTCATTTGTTCAGTCATAAAATGGAACACTTCCATTTATAGACCAGTTGACAACTGAAAGTAGGAAAACTCCTTTTTCCATTGTAGAAATCATATGTGTTAAGTACAAGTTATAATGATTCTTGAGGACAAGGTGCCTGTAAACAGTTCAATTTATAAAGTACAGATAACATCTATGTTTGAATGCATGCTTACAGAAACCTGATATTTTTTAATGTGTCTGTAAATATTAAAGATTGTTATTTAATATTTTTAAATATTGTCATTAATAATATTACACAGCAGAACTGCAAGTTAAAAATGTTAATTGCACTTTAAAAAGAATTCTTACCTGTGATTTTTTTAAATGCGATTGAAGATGTGTGAGTCAAAGTAAGAGCTATGTAACCATTTAAGTGGGTATAGTAAGACAATATATCTTTCATTCATAAACAGAAGTACCAGCTTAACTGTCAGAATATTTATTTGCAAATCGAATGATTTAATGATTAACAACCACAAGGATCAATCTTTGAGGTACAAATGCAAATTGAAATTAAAATGACTTGTTTAACTGATTATATCATTGTTATGCTTCTCATGCCTGGTTTGTGCTTTTATTTTATCAGCCCACTATATTCTGTCTTTTGTCAATTCAGTGGAGGGTCTTTTTTTTTTTTTTTTTTTCCTGTGTGGCTCCTTTCTGACACTCTCTCTCTCTAACCTTCAGCCTCAACAGCCCTCTTTCATAAAGTCCTCCTGCTTTAGACTTCCTTCCTTTCTACATGGTTGAAATACTTGAAAAGTTAATGCAGAAATTCAGCTTTGATTTCAAAACAAAACAAACAAACAAACAAAAAAACCCACAACCCACCTATATGAAGGTAATATTGGGTAGCTGACAGGATTTTATCCACGGAAGGAAGAGCTAAAGGAGATAATTTTAATGTGTGCCTGCCCTTTAATATGCAGGTTACAACCTGGGGTTTTGGATCCTTGTAGGCATTTCCTAGTTTTCAATTTATTTTATTTTTTTTTCATAAGAACATTTGATCTGGGTTGGATCCAAGTATCCTGTTTTGAATCTTTCAGTAGTTGCTGTTTTGACTGTATAAGAAATGAGGCAGAGAGCTCCTTCCTCAATTTATGCAGCATTTTCTTTCAAAAGTCTGTCTTACACGGTTGTGCTTTTCATGTATTCAGTTTAGTACACGTTATCTCTGTGGAGACTATTCTTGAGACCACTTGAAAATAACAGTTGTTGCAGAATATGGCTGAGTACTTACCTATGTTACAGCTTCTTTTAATTTTCATTTGCAGTGGCAGTTAGCAGCTTCTTTAAAAATGCTCCTTCTCCCCTCCAAAAATGAACTGAGCTCTAACTTTTCTAGGACACTTTCTCCTTTTACTCTACTATATTTGTTGCTGTTTATCTTTTGTGCTCAAGTTAAACATCAGATCACCCTAAGCAGGAAGTGGGAATTAATTCACAAGTGAATTAATTTAGTGTATACTAAGTGTATGCCACGAGGACTAACTTTCAGGTTTATTCTGTGGTCAGATACAAAGTTGAGTTACACTTATGGAAAGATCAGTTAGAGGGAATGGCTTTTGGGATTTTTGTTAGTGATTGTGGTTTTGCTTCCCCTGATAGCTAATTTTGTATTTGTCATTACTGTGTTTGATGTTTTAAAAACAAGCAAAAATTCTGTCCATTGTCATCCCTTCATGCTTGGATGTGTCTGTTGCCTTCTGTTACTACTCTTTCCTAAGTTACATTTCTGTAAGCTTTTTCAGAAATACAAAGCAAGGAACACTTCTCCCCTCTCTCTGTTCTGTTTAGACCTTACTGAAATGTAGTTAAACAACTTCTACCTATATAAATACCATAAACCTTTGTATTCCTTTAATTAGGCAACAGATATACAGACTGGAAAACCTAGTTCAAATGAGTTCATCTGATTTTGGTAAGTTTAACACGTTTAATTTGACATTGAGATAGCTGTCTACCTTTTCATTATGGAGGTATATTATCACAGATCACACTTGTGCTTTAACTCTTGACCATGTAAGGTATTGTGGAAATAGATAGTAGAAATGTTGTCAGTTTGGAATCACAATACCATGTAAGGTATTGTGAAAATAGATAGTAGAAATGTTGTCAGTTTGGAATCAGATCTGCCTGTGTAGTAGGTGCACAGGGCAATTCTGAACTTAGTGGAGAATTTCACATTAATTTGACTTGAGCCAAGATGTCACTCCTAAGGTAGAATTTGGCAAAACTGTTAACTTGTTTAATTGAAAATGGAACTATTTGTAACTATTTTAGTTACAAAGGTAGTGGTTGGGACTTTTTTCAGTGTTCTCTTGGCTTACATTTAAAGAAGCTAGTTATATTCACTTAGTTTAGTTATTTACAAACTTAATTTATCTTTGCTGCAGGATCAATAAAATGAGATCACTACAAAATGCTTTGTTTCAATTAAATACTAAAGCATGAGCAGCAGTATGTTTCTGAAAGATTATTGCAGCCTTGGGCTTATTGTAAGTTTGAAGGCTGAATTACTATCAAGTTGGGAAGTTCAGTAATTACTCAGAAATAAACTGACTGTAGTATCTTCTCATTGCAGATAAATTGTTAGTGTTGTAAAAGTACAAGTGAATATTTTTACACATGATTATTATTTTGGTTTGATATTGTCATGCTCTGCCATTTAAATCGTTGGTATGAATTTATCATCAAGCTTCTTTCATATGCTTTTGTTGATTGTATCTTAAAAGTCTAATTTTGCTGACATTTAGTACATAAGTGGAAATACCCTTATTTTAAATTACATTTGAAATTTTATATGGTAGCTGGACACCAATAAGCTGTTCTGTAGTTCTTTTTTCCCTTAAATTTACACATCTGCTTGGTTCTCTCCTCTGTATCCTGTTCTTCGTCTTGTCAAGTAGACTAGAAAAATAAACTGTTGAATTTTATGCTTTGCACCAGCCTTTCTTTGTGACTTAAAGCAAGTCACTGATACATCTGTGACTTAGTTCCCCCTTGACACAAGCAGGCTAGTAGTAGAGCAGTGTCATGAGGTTTAAAATATTTAAAATAATCAGGCACTGCGATGTTAGGTATTATTGATGTCTTAGATAAATGCGCTATTGCCACTGTTTAAAACCTCCACTTAGTTGTGCATATATGTTTATACAGATACCGGTATCATCCATTTAATTTAATTTCCTACCAGTCTTAATGAGCTTTGGAGACTTTGTACTGAGAACTGTGTAAAATCTTTTCTTATACTCTGTATTGTTTTGCCTTTTTTTTTTTGTGAATGCCTGATCTGTTCATAACACTGTTGTTCCTGTTTTGTTCCACTTATTTCACAGATCAATGATTTATGACAGTACGCAAAAGTCTTGTAGTGAAATACTATAAAACTTTGCTTAAACAGAACTTCTGAGAACTTACAATAACATATTTGTAATTGCTAGAAAGAAGCAGTAATATCCATAAATAATTCCATTAGAACAGAGTGATTTGAGCCTCTAAACCATGGCAGATCCTATGGCTTCTTAACTGGTGGGGGTAGGCTGTACACTGGAATATTATGGTACTTGTACCAGTTGATTTGCTTCACTCGGTGAGTGTTGTTGCTTAAAAGATATTGAAATAGGCTTATATGCACAAAACTTTATTTATGGAGTCCATAGCAAGTTGCATACTTGAACTTCAAGGTTACCTGGAGGGGATGGGGAAACAAAGGGGACAGAGAGAGCAAGATAAGGAAAGGGAAGACACCCCAGTGGCCAGCTGGGGAGAGGAGCAAAGGTGTCTGCCTTTCCCTGGACATGCAGTCCAGTGCGGTAGGTGACAAAGGGTTTTTGCCACACATCTCCTCTGTCATGATACACTTTCATCAGGGCCTGCTCAAACTCTTCACTTCCTGTTCCCATTTATGATGCTCTTAATGATTGACTCATGCTTAATCAGGTACAAGTGTTGCAGGCTGACTGGTTGCTAAGCATTTGTGTATATGTATTACTGGGCAGTAGTTATTGGGTATTTAAATGACTTTATCTGCTTTGTTATGCGCTGCTTCATCTTTCTGTAATATAAGCTGAAACCTACAAGGCAAAGTGTAGGAATAAATAAGAAGTGATTCTCACACCACTGGCAATAGCTTCCAATGTATCTCTGCCGTAATGATGGTGTTTGAGCTGGCAAGTGCAAGGTAAGGAGGGTAACAGCATGAGAACAACAGCTCAGAGAGCAAAGGAAAGGAAACATATAGCTGCAATAAGTGGCTGAAAGGATACAGAGCTGCAAGTGAAAGGCAGGCTACAGGATTGTGAATGGAGGGCTCTTAACGTTGCACATCTTGAGACACTGCAACAATGTGATGCTTCCTAGGAAGAGCAGTTACAAACCATGTTTCCAAATAAGTCCACCTGCTTAAGTCCCCCAAGAGAAAAAGATGCTGAGAAATTTTCACACATGTCTTTTTTTGAAGGTGTCTTGGAAGCAGACAGGGGGTAGGGCTCAATGATTTCTTCTAGCACTGACTGCTTGCCTCTGCCGCGTTTCTTGAGGGACTGGATACCTTCTTTTCCATCTGTATCTAGATATGCGCCTCATGGTAACATAAAGAATGGATCCCTCTGGCAAGATGACATTTAGAAATGGGTGTTTGCCACCAGCCCCCTCCCAAGTTGTCCTCAGAAAAAAGAGTCGTTTTCCAGTGGTCTGGTTTAATTACTGTGGAGAATGTATATGTTACATGAGTCATGGTGTGGACACCTCTGCTTTAAGCTATTCATCTCTTTTACTTCAGGTCAAGCTGCAAACTTGCACTCTGAAGCAGAGAGCATCAGGCATCAATGTATTGAGTTTTTGCATTATGTGAAGGTTTTCATCTTCAGGTGAGATTTGCACACAATTTACTAGCTTACGTACTAAGCTTTGCGTAGCTACTTCTTACCTGTTTTCTTATTGTGTGTATGTATGTTCAGGTATCTGGAACCTCCTAAAGTGGAAAATGATGGAATGCTGCATCCATATGAAGAACTAGAAGCACAGTTACCATCAGTGTTGGTGGAAGAGCTTCATGCTTTGACCATGCACATTGGTCACCTTTGTGAACTCCCTAGTAGTGTCCTGGCAGCATTTACTATTCAACATCAGGCAAAGGTTGATGCCTTTTATAATTTTATTTTTTTGTGTGTGTGTAAGAGTACATACTCCAAGTTGATAATTTTTGGCTGAATAAGAACGAATCTTTCTTCAGGCTGAAACTGAAGTTACACTTTATATTTTGGTTTTTTTATCCCTTTATTAGCTAAGTGCCATCCCATACTTGGCAAATACAACTAATGAGCTGTGGATTTTTTATTTTTTTATTTTTTTAATTTACTTGTATGTTTTATAGCTTTTAAAATTCTTCCTGCACTATACAAGTGATAATACTAGTTACAGGTAGATAAGTAGTCTTGAATTAGTGTAGCATGTTTAAAAAAATTCCTCTGTTGTTTGTCCTTACTAATGGTTAACATTTCTCAGCTTCCCAGTAGGAGGGACACTTTTAAAAAAATACATTCTGAAATCTGACTCATAATAGGAGGTGATCATGCATATAAACACTAGTGAAGTATACACCATTGATTTGTGCATACACATAATAACTAATGCTTTCAAATATTTTTGAAAGAAAAAAGGAATTTCAGTCTTATGCTGTAAAAACTAGGATCTGGAGAGGGATGATCCACTGAGAAGCAGCATTTTGAAACTTTGTTTAGCTTGTCAGTAGGGCCACTGTTGAGCTGATGGAAAAAAAAAAGTAATTTCAAGTAAACTTTAAGGAAGACAATATTGAAATTTTGGAATCACTTTAAAAGCATGCTTTACTTCCGCAGTTTGTGCGCTACCTAATACTATTCTGGCAAGCTTGAATCAAGACATTGTGTTTAAATTGTAGTTTAATTCAGATTAAAGATTTCATGAAAATCCTCTACAGACAGAATTGATTGTCATGAAGGTTTTTTGTTTGTTTTCTATTTTTCTTCTTGAACTGAATGGCATGTTTGTATGTTACAGTGTATTTGATCATAGTTATCCATAATGTTCATTGCAGACAAAATGTATGCCCATCTTCATCTGTCTTACTACAGTATCCTGAATTTGCTAGAATTTTATTGTTAAAAATAAATAAATGTGTGTATTTCTAATCACAGGTCTTTCCCCCATCATGGCATTTACTACACCTCCACTTGGATATTAATTGGCTAGTATTGGAAGTTCTTCATGTACTAGGTGAAAAAATGATGAGTAAGTATGCAGGGGTTTTTTCTTGAACTTATTCTTGTACATACAACTTACTTAGATTTCTCATCTTAATTTGTCCAGAATAATTTACTACTTTTTCTGGTTTTTAAGCATAGCTATATTTAATTGGGTAAACTCAAATATGGTGAAGACAGGTCCTCTGTGAATCTTAAAGTAGCTCAAATTAAATGAAATAGTATTAGGAATTTGGTCTCTCAAAACTCGATCAGGATTATGAAGCTTATTCTCAACTGATGCTTACAGCGAACTAAACATTTAATAACAATACACTTTTTGACATCACAAATAAAAATGCATTTGCAGAGATCCAGAATGCATAACAGCGAACAGAAATATTATGAAAACAATGTAGGAAAAGTGTCCAAGGATGGACCAGAACAAAGAATCTTAGAACAGAGAATTTGCATTGTTAACCATATGGGACACTAAGAAAATACTGGGAAAAGGAAGAAGCCTCAGTCAGAGGAGCTTGTAAAAGTGCAGCAAGAAAAGGGCAAGGCAATACTTTTTTTTTTTTAAAGGCTTTAAAAGGGCAAAAAGTAGATTGATAAGAGTAAGCTGTTCATAGAAGCTAGATAAAAAAGGTCATAGAATGCAATTGAAGAACCCAACTTCAAAGTAGTTCAGTTTGCTGAAGAAGAATTGTTAAAATACAGAAGAGAACTTTATTTGCTCTGTCTATTTTTCATGTCCATGCTAGCAGAATAAATCACAAAAATGTATTTTCTTCTATAACCATTGTGTCACTACAACCAAACCTTCTGTACCACCACCCCCCAGTTGTATAAATTACCAATGTAAGTTCCATATAGGAGTTGCAACAGTTAGAGTAACATTGAGGTCTAGAAAGAATGCACTGTATGTTTAGCCCAGGTAACTGGTACTGAATCTGAACTCTTGGATTAGCTTTCGCCTGCTCTGAGTGCTGTCACAACACAGCCTTGCTTGGATTAATGCATCTTCACTGTTTCTGCTTGACTCTTACTGGATAATGTGTGGGTTGGCTGTTTGTTCTATAATTCTAAGGTTTTTTTTATGATCCGTTGTGGGATAACCTGTTTTCCTTTCTTGGGGCCTTTTGGAGAAAGGATGGGAAAACTGTTTGGAGGCAATTTACTGTCCAGAATTCTATATTTATTTCTAGATAAAGTTCGGAGTACTAATGCAGTAATCCATTTTTGTGAGAGAAAGCTCGTGCTTTTTAACAACACTTAACTAGTCAAGACAGTAGTATCTCTGCATGTATTATCTTGTCTTGTATTCTTATGTGCCTTGCACAATTTCTTACGTTCTTATCTTATTCTGTAAAGTATGCTGAATAGAAACTTCACACTGCTGAGACCAATGGCTGGATAGTGGGTTCAGGGCTTCACCCTGCATTTCCAAGAACAAAATTCAGACTCATTATACATATCTTCTGTTCCACTGATGTCAAGGGAGTTCTGCTCTTGGAAAGCTTGTAGGATAAGATCTTACAGCCTCTTAACTTTACCATTTTATCTGTGTTAATGTCTACAAATGCTCAAGCTGGAATATGATCATGCCAGCTTTTTACATCAACACATCCAAAGGGAAGTGTTAGACCTCTCCAGAATTGTTTGTCATCAAGTTGCGTATCTGCAAAACATGTCATGATTTCAGAACATGCACACTGGCATGTGACAAAGAGGAACTTTCAGATAAATAAATCTTTATTCCACTGGAAAAACTGTGCCAATAAAAGGCTGTAAAGTGCCAAACTATTTTACTGTCAACCAGAATAATACCAGACTTCAGTGTAATAATGAAGGGACTAGCTTGAACTTAGAATGGATGAACTTTCCCAAATGAGTTTCTAAATTAAAATCACATAAAGCTCAACAAACCAATTCTAAGATATTTATAGAATAGAAAAAGAAAAAATAATCTTGTCTGTCTTGTATTCCTACAGCCAAACCCAGGACTAAATAGATCTAATTTTCTTTTGTGTTTTAGGACAAGTTGTATATGCTAACCATTTCATAAATCTAACCGGAGAGAATTTAACCAGTATCAGTTTATTTGAAACACACTGTGGAAGTCTCATATCTGATTTAATAAGCTTGTCCATCAACAAGTATATAAAGGTAACTTTTTTCTTTATGTAGGACATGGGCAGTTAGATGCTTGTATTGGGAACCGTAGGAATTAGATATTGTACCAATGCATAGATGACTTCTTACTGCTAAGTTTTAAATGTTATGTATGGCTTTATATCTCCATGTTTTAAAGAGTGTTATTTGTTAGGAGCTCAAATTGTGTTATATTTATTCATGACCATCTGGCAGTTGAATGAGAGTAATATTGAAATGCGCTGTGTACAGAGCAGAAGTGAGTGCCACATTTTGTAAGTTCAGTGTTCCAGGTTTAATGCCAAACATGGCACAGTCTAAAAGGTTTAGAGATATAGATGCAAAAAAAAAATCTTTTCAAACTCTCTCAAAAGGAACAAAAAGACAATAACTGTAATCCTGGCAGTAAGCTAACTGGACACTTACAGAATGTCATATTGCAGTTTATTGTTGCACTGCTCCTATTGCCCCAACCGCATCTTTCTATTACAACGCTTTTATGTTTGTCAAGGGAGAACTTGTGCTTCTCTTTTTTTTTTTTTTTTTTTTTTATTTTTCTTTCCTTCTGTAGCTGCAGTGTTTTTCTCACATGTTTTGAGCACTCCAAAGGTAGAGTCATAATAGCTCCATATAGATATTGCAGTTTATTGTTGCACTGCTCCTATTGCCCCAACCGCATCTTTCTATTACAACGCTTTTATGTTTGTCAAGGGAGAACTTGTGCTTCTCTTTTTTTTTTTTTTTTTTTTTTATTTTTCTTTCCTTCTGTAGCTGCAGTGTTTTTCTCACATGTTTTGAGCACTCCAAAGGTAGAGTCATAATAGCTCCATATAGGAGCTAGTAAAAGAGCTGCGTAATCTTCTTTGACTGCTTCATTGTGAAACCTGATTTAGATGGGTATGTATGATCCATGAGTGCAGGACTGAACTCTGAGAATAAGTAGCAGTGACCACTGTATAATCTATGTTTTCCTTGTACAAAGACATGAAAAATTGAGTTCCCCTTCTTTCATATTACTGTTTGGGGCAGGGGGGAGGAAATGGCTATGGTAGCGTTTGATAACTCTTCTTTTAAACTACCTTTCTGTTGAGAACTCTGTTACCTTTTAAAACCAGTTTTGATCTATTTAATTATCAGATAATAGTGCAACCTCCTCCCCCATCGAAAGGCAAATGACAGTAATTTTTTTAAAAGGAAGATTCAAATAGTATCTGGTGACCATTGTGCTTGATGGTAGGGTTTGAAATGTCAGATGTTAAAATGACGGATTCGTCCTACTTCCATAGAGCCACATTACAAAGTCAGACGATTGCTTTGCCACTGCTTTCTCCTCAGCTCTCCCTAGGCTTGGGCAGCACAGTTTGAACTAGTTCTATTTGAGATTAATTTCTGAAGTGGAGCTTGGACTTGAGCAGGATCTTCAGCTGGTGCATCCTCTAGCGTGCATTCGTTGCCATGATCCAGTAATGGAAATCATGTCCCTCAAAATTGTTGAAAACACAACAGATACCTGTAATAGATTACATTGACAGCTCATCACTAAAACATATCATTAAGCTTTTGGCTGAGAATATTCACAAGCACAGCTTTTAACATCTCTGGGTATCCTTGGAAGGAGGGACGTATTCCACACTCATATTTTCAGATCTGTTTTTTGGGCAGCTCTGGTATCAAGACGCTTGACTTGGATCTCATACTGAGCCCATTGTGCTCTGTGGTACATTTGGCAGAGAAATATATGTCCTTGGATATCTTTTTATTTTCAGCAGCACATCTCTGGCACTAGAGCTCAATTGCCCCAACAGTACCACAGTTTGAGGTTATAACTCTTACCGAGACACTGAAGTCAGGATGTTACAAGAGGAAATCCAGACCATCTCTGAAGAAAACAATGTCTCAGTTATCCTTAGCGTAACAAATATCTGTGTGGTGTTTTGCTTTGATACTACTAGCCAAACTCTTTCCTGGGTGGATACTGCACATCTTCTGCAGAAGAGATCCTGCTATCTTGTAGAAGAGCACAATAGTAGATGCAAGTAGTAGATGAAGAAACCTAGTTACTGCAACAACTAGTACTCCATGTAAAAGGCTTGAAACTCTCACTTGTAAGATAGTTTGTGTTCCTAATACTTCCATAAAGTCCTCCAGTGTTATAGTGCATCTGTAATAAGACTGCCTCTTTCCGTGGGATCTATTTTGCTCTTTGGTGATGAGTCATAACCAGAGTATTTTTTGAGACACTTCAGTTTTGGGACTTTAGTAGTTAAATAATTAATTTTTTCAATGGACTTCAGTGGTCACACTGATGTTTATCCTCAATATAATATTTACATAAGATTAATTCAGGTTGTTGAGAGATTCCCATAACAGGTCGTCAACTAGAAGCGTGAAGTGGCATAGGCACATGAAAAACTCTAAACAGCATATATGGAAAGCGATTAATAGAATTATTTTAAATATTTTAGTCTTGACCTCATGATGTTCTTAAACTGATTGTCAGGGTCCACCCTGGCAATTTCATAGAGTAAGTAGGGTTCTTTATAGAGAGAGAAAAATAAATTATGTGTCACACTTATAAATTCATATTTCTAATTAAATGTTCAGTATTTAAACCTGATTTAGAGCTGTATGAAAACAGCAGTTGCAAACGTATTTCTCTAGAGGTGGATGATAATAAAAAGTCTCTATAGAATATTATATAGCTTTGAAAATATTGGTGGTGTACTTGTTCTTCTAATTGTGAGTGTGGTCTTTAGTCATTCACTGTTCAGTAATGTCTCTTTCACACAGCTACTGTTGTCACTGGCATTGCGTATTTTGATATAATTTTTATTTTATACCATTAGGTTTCCAAATTCAGAAATGATTCTAAGTACCAATGTGATTTGAGAATAGTTGTGCATGAAAGAGCATGAGGATATCAAAATTCAGCATTCGTCTCATCAGATTAAGGTGTCTAGGGGTTAACTGGGTAAACTATTCACCTTAGGTTCTTTTTTTTGTCAGGGAAGGATAACAACAGTTCTGCAGTGAGTTAGATGAATTAGTCTCTCTAGGTGCCCATTTCCCTCTATTTGCCTTAGAGGAGTGTAAGTTGATCATTAAAACTTGGACTACTCATTGTTTAGGGATAAACTGAGTATGAGCTGCTTTGTCTTGCCTCTTTCCTTTCTGCATTTCTGCCATCATGTCCTTGCTGAAGGTAAAATGTGCTGAATTACACTATTTAAACAAAGCTTTTTCTCACTGTTTTTACCACCTCTGAATACCATACAGTGGATTCATAGGTCCTAAGACAGAGTAAGTAAAGTTTTGTCTATGCTATGATTATTTCAAATACAGTGCTGGTAGGTCTCAAAAACATTAAAGTGTACAGAGAATTTTTATGTATTTAGCGCTTCCTTTTGCTGTTTTGCTTATTTTATTTCACAATTCAGGGAACGTAAAACTGAAAGATGAATCACAAGAAGACTACTTTGCATTTGAAATGCATCAGTCTGAATGAATTTTGTTAAATATGGAATAGTAATCAAATAACGTACATGACTTGAAATATGCTGTTTTCTGCATATTAAAAGAATGCCTTGCAGTAAATTTACCGAAAAGCAGATTTTGTGAAATGTTGTGGGAACATTAACATACTCATGCCAACAAAAACATATTCTACTAGCATTATGCCTCGTCATTAAGGATTTTTCAGTTAAAAATAACAACAATAATCGCTATTAAATCATTTGAAATCCTTTTCTTATCTTCCCAAGAACATCAAGACGATCTAATCAATCATTTTCCCTTTTCCCCACTGTCAGACAATGAATCAGTATTTATTGCAATTCCTTTTCATTTAGGCCTCAGAATCCCATTTTCATTTGATTAAATAATGTTTTAAAGTGGCTCAGGAGAAACTAAGAAATAGTACAAACTATAACTTATGCAGAATTAGGAAACAGTCTTTGTTGTATGATATATACATTTTAGATGTTAATGGAATAACACACTTTCCAATATGTAATTGTACCTATATTATTTAACTGCACCCCCCCCCCTTAAAGAATTATGGATTCTACTTATTCAGCTGCTGGACCACAGAAATAAAGGGTCTCACACAGAGGTAATGGAGGAACACTGTTACATATGCATGCGTGTTTCATATGCAGTACAGTCACCAAGTGTTCCCAGATTGCCATGAAGGCACTCATTCACATATCTGATGATAGAATTGAACTCCATATTTGCTTTAGGAGGATGCATGCTAACTGTGATGCTTTAGGCTGCTGTCTTGAATGTGCATCAAGTTCTGACTCTAGGTTTGCAGTGTACTCTTCGGTTATGACCTAAGGCACTGATAAGGAGTGCTCCCTGTGCTAAGGAAAGGCAAGCAAAGGAGCAGACTGCAAAAGTTGTATGGTAGAACAAAAGAAAAGAAACCATCTTCACCCATTTTTTAAAGTGTTTATTATTATTTGCAATTTATGTGTTATGTCATGCAATGATTCATCTCCAGGTATTAGAAACACAGGCACAGTCAGACCAATGATGCATCTAGCCCATGTTTCTGTCTTTGATACCCATACCTTAACTACCTATACAAGAACAACCTGATTTCTGTTTTTGAGTCTTGTAGTTGCTGACTTCTTTTGATGCCCCCTTATACTTCGATTGGAAGAGACAATTACTACCTGTTTTCCTTCCTTATACCAATATGACTTTATATGTCTCTTCAGATTTTTTTCTGATATCTCCTACCTTCTGCCTGTTCTAGGCTGAAGAGTCTTACTGTATTCAGTCATTCTTTTTACAGGTGCCATTCTCGACCTGTGGTCATCTTTGTCACCCTTCTTTGAACCTTTTCCATACTACTACATCCTATTTTGAATATTAGAGTACCAGGATTGCGTGCAGTATTCAAAGTATTGAATATAGGTGACCATATGATTTTATACAGTGCATAATGATGTTTTCTATTTTGTTCTTTTCCTTTAGTGATGTTTTATAGTGTTTTGATTTTTCTTTCTTGACTGCTGGTTAGAATTGAGCTGATGTTTCTCTGAAAGAATATTAAGAAGCATCGAAACCTTTTGAAAGTCTTCTGAAATAATCTTTATAAAAACCAAAGCTGCCATCTGTGCAATAAGTACTGTTCACTTAGTATAGAATGAAGTACTCTGTAGCAGAATGTTTGTACTGATAGTTGTTTTCTTGTTAATGACAACAGATGTAAAGGTGGACAACACAAGTGAAACTTCATTAGTGTTTAGTGTTTGCACTAGCACTTTGAAGAATAAGTTAGGATCAGGGCCCAGCTAAGGTGGGTGAAATACAGAAAGAAGTTCCAGAGACTTTCTGTATAATTAGGGAATTTAGGCACAGACTGTAAGAAGAAGTAATACTGTGGTATAGACGTGGATCTGAGCCAAAGATAATTCATCAGTTTGTCCATGCTGGAACAGACTTGAAACAAACCAAGGACTTTGAAAAACAGCAAACTGAGGTTCAGACTCATCGTCTACCATTTACTACAATCTTCCTCTTGGTTAGGTTAGTCTGGCACTAAAAGTTTTTCAAAAATCTGTTTTAAAAGGTCTTCATTAAAAAACTCTTATCTGTCTCATGTGAGTGTTGGTGCACCATCACATGTGCATATCATCATTCCATCAGTTTGTAATTTGCCTGTGAAATATCATACTGTGTTCTTCCTTGTGACCAAAGCTTGTCCTTTCACATTGCTTTCTACTGGCATTTGAGAGGTGACATTCTAAAGCAGCTCCAGGCTTTCTCTTATAACACTGAACACTGTTTTGTTTGGGTTTTTTTTCTACATTAAATGACTGTCATCTTTCTTGTTCTCTGTAAAAGCAAATGAATCAATAGGACAGTATTGTAGAGAAAATTGTTAATACATGCTTTATTATTCAACACAGTTCAAATTTACTTTTGCATTTTCTACAGTGTTTCTGGAGCTTGGTGAACAAAACTATAAAGAATATCTTTGAAAGGCCAAGTAGTTCTGAAAGGATGACTGGTTTTGAAACAATTCAGTGTAAAGACCCATTGAGTTTTAGCTGGTGGATTATTACTCATCTCTCATCACTCTACCAGTTTGACCGTAATGGAAATCTAGATGAAAAGGTGGGTGCAATTTTTTTCTAAATACCTAAAAGTTGTTATAATTCACTTAGATCTCTCACTTTGGTTATTTTTGTTGACAGAAAATAATCTATGTTGTAATACAGGAATTTTCACACTCTTTAAAAAACGGTCCTTTAAGGTTGGTAGTGTTAAGGTGTGCTTTGTAGAAGTCAGTAAACATTCCAGGAGCCCCTCATGTATTCATGTTATATACCGTATATTCAGTAGATTAATGTATTAAGGAAATTTGAAATATCCCAACTAGTTAGTGGCACATATACTTAGTGATGTAGCATATGTTTTAAGACTGTCTGCCTGCAGCATAAATCCTTCACTGGGTTTGGTTTTTTTTAGGAAATGAACATATTGGATTGTACCCTATGAAGTATAAACCTCAAACATTGACTGTGTAATTGTTAATACCACTTTTTTCAAAAAAAGTGGTAGCTCTGCTCTGGATAAGATTGCCTTAGCTTTTCTTACTGGCTGGAGCAGGCAAGTCCCCGATTAATCAGGTTCTTGTCTATGAATCTCATTGTGAGGGACTTGTCATCTAGACCCCTTACGGAACGTGTGGTAATGTCACCTGCACATGCTATTGCTGTGCCTGTAAGATTTATGTAGGGTCATATTTAGTAGTGATGCATCAATTTCCTTCATGAGCCTCACTTCAGTTTTCTGCAGTTCTGGGGTCGTGTAAACCCTGACTCTTCTTTCAGTCTCTTACTCTGAGATTCATCCGCCTGGTTTCAAGCTTCTAATCATGAATGGGGAAGGAAGTAGGTACTTACTGAGGCAATCCATCCATTTTGAGAGGTATGAAGCTGCCACTTTTTCTTAATTGACTATAGAGGGAGCTGACTAGAAGCCAAAGAGATACCTAAAGACCCAGAAATTTTTGTGGTTCTTTTTTTTTTTTTTTTTTGTCTAATAGTGGTTTTGGCACTAGGGAGAATCAGATTGTGCCATCTTCTGTCATCTGCCCTTCTGTTCTTTTATCTTTTGCCTTGTAGTTCTGTTTGTTTGGGTTTTTCTTAAATTTTTTTACATTTCAGATGGATTACTTATATTCCTTAGTTTTGCAAGCATCAGCTGTATGGCTTCTTCCAAATTGGGCTTAGTTGCCCTTTCTTGTGAAGTGTCTTTTATTATTTGTAATTTAATAGTGTGTATTAAAACTGGAAAGGTCATACCCTTTTTCTGTTAAAATCTTTACCAAGACTTCCTGTCCTGACTTAAGACGAAGGGTTAAAACCTTGAAACATGTTTATGAACTGCACATTTGTAAAGAGGGAGAGTCTGCTCATATCAGTTGATGAGTTTGTTTTGATAACTTAAAATCCATGCCTTCCCCCTTCATCTTTAGATCTTTAAAAGCATTAGTATATAAACAAAAAAGGCATAAAAAATGTTGAATGCTTTTAATCCTTACTAAAATGAGACTTTCTAATAAAAGTAAGAAGTACTTTCATTGATTTTGATCTTGTAAATTCCCTGATTTGTCAAGGGAAAAAAAAAAAGATAGGGAAGGTGTGATAACTCAGTGCTTGAATACTTAGTTGAAAAACTCACAACCATTTCTGGTGACTAGAGGACTTAATGAATGTGGGATGCTTACGCACAACCATTTCTGGTGACTAGAGGACTGAATGTGGGATGCTTACACTGCTTGCGGGCTGACAGATCCTTTAGGATCCCATGGCAGGCTGCTCATTATCATGTGGTTCAGTCTTTTCTACTAATACCATGGCAAAATGAAGCAACTTCTTACACGTGTGTACAGTGTAAAATTGCAGACCATATCTGATTGTTACGTTGAAGGTTGTCTCAAGCTTCCTTTGCTTTCGCCCTGTTACTACTGTAGTAGGGGAGGACCACAGTCCATATTGTATTTCAGAGGGACACTGGGAAGATAGAATTACTACACTTACCTGCTTATTAGAGGGACTTCGATGGAGGGAAAAGGTTATTCCCAGGTTGAATACAGAAACTAGTGTGAAGCAGGCATTTATCCCAGGTTTCTTATATTTTATGCCGTAATCAAAATGCAGTGATACTGTTTACTTTGATCACTGGATTTTTTTCTCTCTCTCATACTGATACATACTATGTTTTAGCCTTGTGAGAGACTATTTTTTTCCCCCAGGCACTATATTATTTAAATAAGCCAAACAGACGTAGAATGAAAAAAAGGATTCCTGTTGTTCTTATGTTGAAGTAGGAATCTGAGACAGTGACAGGAAGTGACTTGTCCAAGATTAAATAATATTTTTTCCTTAGAGCCCACCTGGGAGAAGAGAACTACCAAGTCTCGATTTGTAAATCATGAGACCGTCCTGTGCATGCTCCTCTTGATTTCAGTAGTCTCTATGTTCAAACTGTTAGCCGTGTTTTGCATTTCTCTGAGTGTGGCTGTCAGTTTGTTGTTTGTCCAGGGATCCCTGTTCTCTTAAGTGCCATGGGTGCTTAAAAAAAAAAATCTATCAGTAACAACAGTGCCTTTTCACACACCACAAAAACGTAATCTGTCTAGACAGTTGATAGTAACCATTTCTTTAGGTCCGCTCCTTCACCCTCCTCTCTTCCCCCCAAAATTACAGTCCCATTCGTTGAACGTTATAAGATAAAGTAGTCCGCGATACAAATTTCTGAAGTCAATGCAATTACATCGGGGCTCAATGTAGTCCTGTTTTGTTGGTTAAACATCTGATGCGATAGCTTCATGACACATGCTTTCTTTTAATTAACTGTGATCAGAGGTGGGAGGGTGATGTGTCATAATGATGGTTATTCATGTGCTCTGTAGCAAAAATTGCCTCTAAGCCTATGTCATCTGTGGAAGATTTTCAATTTTTTAATGTGGTCTGCATGGCCTTGAGGTTATTATGAAAGCTTTTAAAATTCTAAATAGGTTTCAGTCTTGCTTCTTTCTATTTTTTCCCCTTTAGCTCATATAACGTAATTTCAAATATGCAGTGGATCAGAGATATTGAATATATATTTCATACGCATGAAACCATTTTTTTTTAAACTGGAAAATTCTGGCGAGGTTTCCTAGAGACTCTCTTATGAGAGAGGTACAGTACACGTCTCTTTCCATAACCCTACATTCAGGTCCCACTTCACTCTTCTGAAAAGCAGGATTTGTACATTTAAAAACCAAATGGGACCTGATGAGAAAATTTGCTGCTTCTGAACATTGCAGGGGTCAATTTCAATATACTGTGGGCTAGGGAAATATAGGCAGAATTACCTGGGGCTAAGAATGTTTTCCTTTGATAGAATAATCTGAAATGACTACGTGGCAAGATATGCAAACATGGACTTTCAGCTGAGATGCCTAGTATGGCTCTTCCAGGTCGTCAGCTGTTAGTCCTTGCAAAAGTTTCTCCCTGAGAACCCAGAGGGTCTTAGCTCAAGTTTTTGGTTTTAGCAGCACTTCTATGCACTGTAAGGTCTCCAGGCTCTGTTGATTTTAGGACTCTTTGTGGGTGGAGGGAGGATGTTGTGAACCAGCAGGTTTGGAGTAAGAGATGTCGATTCTACATATTATCTGACAAGGATGGATTGTAAACAGTTGCCATGCCGTATTGCGAGTGTAGCAGGGAATACTGTTAGGATGTAGTGGGATTTGAATGAAAAAAGTCTGTTAAAAGATGGAGACAATTGAAGCTAAAAAAAAAGTGCAACAGGTGGTTGGTGTCATTCTCTCCTGAGTTTGTGCTGAACCTGAGTGCACTCTTGTAATCAATTCCAGTTGGTGTTAGGAGTTTACCCTAGATTACCCCAGGATTTTGGAAGGTGATCTGCATACTGCAGCTGAGCTGGAACTTTGGCAATAAACACCTTTTGTATAAAGCAAGAGTCCTTGGACTATGGGAGTGCTAAAAGCATGTTCTGAACAGGCTGATCCAGACATTCGAGGTCTTGTAGCCATTCAGCTCTCTTAACATCTACTCATCGCTGATAAAACTGGCTTTTGAGCAGTTGATTAGCTTTACTTGGAGTCTGCAGTAGGACCATGCCAGTGTGTAGGTATTCACATAACATCAAGCTCTAAAATACAGCAGTCAAAATAAAAATCTGACCTAAATGCTCGCCAGAACTGTCTGGGAATGCTGATTGTGCACTTTCTGGGTTTTACTCGTTATCGAAGTGCTGCCTTTACTCCTTGGCTACTTGTTGATGCAGTGGTCTCTCTTTCTGACAGGATGCTAGCTCTGGTTTCATGATACAAAGGTTTTGGCATCCATAACAGCTTAAGAAGTCCTGTTTACTGCCCTAGGAATGATACGCCCTCTGCTGTTCTAGCACATTTTTTTGTGTCCCTGTTCTATGACCTAGGTCAGGCCCTCCTTCCTTTTTCATTCTTTCTTTCTCTCCTAAGGCTTTGAGTCTGTTCACTGATCTGTGTCTCAAAAACAGAAGGACCGGAGCAGCTGAGCAGTGGCATGCTACAGCTGTGAGGGCAGGAAGAGCAGCTGGCAGGATGAGGAGGAAGCAGTGGGGACTCCTTAATTGATACTGCTCAAGTTCCTCATCGTGAAATCACAGCTTTAGTGTAACTTTCTGCAGATCTGTCCTTTCATTCATAGTTGTTCCATTAGCAGTCTACAGACTGCGACTTGCTACCATCGTCAGTCTTTCAGAATTCTCTTTTTCTTGTCGTGCAAAAATGTAAAGCCACCAAGTAGTCAAATTGTGTTACATAAGTATTAGTGGATCTTTTTAAAGAGTTTATCCTTAAAATTCTCTCAGTACTCTCTGGAGTTCTGTGTGGAATTGTTACCAGGTCACAGCATTAAGTAGTGTTGCCAGTAGCAGAGGAGGATGGGGCACGTTGGTGTTGCTGCTGGAAAGTACTTATATTTCAATTACCAAAGCATAAGATGCTCTTTATTGTAAGCTCTATACAGACACTTAAAGAACAGATAACTGCAGAATAATTTATAAGGCTTAACAGTTGTGACAGTGGAGGGAATGAGTAAGGCAGGACAATGATGAAAGTACGATGTTCACACGTTTGGTTATCTATACAAGCTATGTAGGTAACTGAGTGTAGATGATTTTTGGATGTCCTAGAATTGTAAGCTTGTTGGCTTGGTTGCCTTTTATTTTTTTACTGAGAAATAGCCTTAGTTGCAAAACCTTCTACCCTTTTCTTTCCCACTTTGCCTAAATATATTTTTTTTCTCCCTTTTTAATATACTTTGCCATGAAACTCTTTTACTTCATTAGCGTGGTCTAGTTGATTCAAATGTCTTCCAAAGCTGAAGAATATGAATTATGGGCCATATTTGACCTACCCTATATTTTCTTCTGTCTGTATAAGCCATTACTGTCTGGCTAACTCCTCACCAAATTGGCCAAAACAATCCTTAATGTTTGGCCTGGGAAAAATGAGTTAGAAGTGGGGGTTTTTTTCATTGAAAAGTGAAAAACAAGAAAAGGTGAGATTGTACCTTTTCCTGCTTATTACCCCTTATATCTTCCTTTTTACAGAATATTAAAGAAAGAAATTGTAAGATATACTTAGTGCTTGTATTAATCAAAAATGCCTGAATGTTTTGCTTCTTTACTGAAAGTGAAGGTTGGGATTGCAAATGAGTCGCTTAAACCAGTTTAAATTGCGTAGTCTTTATTTTCAGCTTTGTATTTGTTTTTGAGGCCTAATTTTTAGGACAGATATCAATTACATTCATAAAACAAAAAAGCTGTTTTCAGTGGCAACTACAATATGCTGTCAGGAAATGAAATATTTCTGGAAATCTCTTGCCTGCTTATTTTCATGTTATTGCATAATGATGTATGTGAGGAAAACAAATGCTACTTCATGCTGTTAATCATTATTTTTCAGAAACAAAAGGAATCCAATTGGAAATATGTGGAAGAACTCCTTAAAAAATCCACTGATGCTCAAGTAAGTGTGTAAAGGAAAAAATAACAAACAACCGAAGTGTCAGGAATTCTTTCAGGAAGAGACAGTGTATGAAACAAAGTCCAACTAACAAGTGTATTTTTGGAATTCTAGTGGTTTTATCACAGGTAAATGAACATCCTTGACGTCGCTGAACTATGGCAGTATACAGTCCCCTCCTTGTTGGCAGTTACACTTGCTTTAAAGTAGTTGTGCCTGATGCTAAATTGTCAAATAAAGGAAAAAGATAATTATCCTGGAAGGGTAGGCATATGGCTACTACGACAAGATGTATTCAGAATAAGAACCGGATGCTTAGAAAATGTAAACCAGATATTGAATGTAAGGACATCAAGTTGAGGAGACATGATGAGGGAGATAGTCAGTTGCATTGAAAATTCAGCTATATCCTCATCACAGCAGGAAGGTGACTTGCCTTGCTGAGCAATTTGTCTTACAGGCTTGAATCAAACTCTTACTGATAAGGTTCTAGTTTCTGAGCACTCATTTCATACCTTATCATTTTTCTTTCTGCAGAACTGTTAATGCAATGCTTCATGGCCCAGAGGTCAGAATTGACCTCCTTTTAAAATGCTTTTAAATATGCTGTTCATCACGTTTTTTAATATGTTACGTTGCAACTCTAAATTTGTTCTGAAGTTGCATGGTACAAATTGCAAATGCTGTATCAGCAACACCTGTAAAAATAATCTCTTTAATTTGTGTACGCTTAAGATGAGAATAAAACATGTTTATTTTTTTTATTTGGTCTCAGATGAAATAAAAAAAAAACGACCTGCAAAGTTCTGTTGTTGAAAGCAGAAGAGGAATCTGTTCTTTTATTACTGCCTTGCTCATGCAGTAGCAACAGCTGTGGTTGAATCTGGAGTACAGAACAATACTTGTTATAACTACAGTTTTTACAAAAATATATTTTGTAGTTGTCAGGATAGGTGAAGCAATAGATACGGTATTAAAAAATTGAAAAATCATGCTGTCCATAAACTAAAATTTGTTTATGTAGTCTTTCAGCTTAAAAAGTTAACTCTTTTTGAATGATTTCACAGTATATAACTGAATACACACACTGTGCGTATACATTAAAACTACAGTGATGACATCACTTATTGGATGCTTACCATTCTGTGAGAGAAACTGGAGAGATTTAGATGAGATAAGAGGCATAAAAGCTGTGAGCAGCTTATTAACCACCTTCCTCTGTTGCATCTTCTGTATGTCAGCAATCTGAGAAACAGTAAAAGCACACATGTAATTACGTTTTTCTTCAAAATACTCCTCTTTTCTCGTGAATTTTTATTATTTGGAATAGATTACTCTGAAGTTAAATATATGTATAATATACAGCTTTTTGACACTTCTGTTAAACAATTATTGAATTATAGACAATTTGGAAAGGCATCTTGGTGGTCAAGTTCAGAAGGTTTGAAGGAAGAGTCAATCATGACGCAGTAATATCAGGCAAATTTCTATTTTGATTTCCAAAGGCAACCACTGTTGGAATTAAAACAAACCCTCATTTGCCAAGGATATGTTTGCAACTATTAGCAACTGTCTAAAGTGCCATCTAGTTTATTTCCTTTGTTTTCTCTTTGTTCATTATTTTTTCTTGCATTATGGAATTAGCTGCTTGTAGGAAATGGTCCTTGAACAGGATTTGTCCCTCTATGTGCATGCACAAGTGCATGTAGGTACTTTTAATAAAAAATGCATCCCGCTTCCTATCCCTCCGCACCAGCCTCCTTGACAGTGTGTGGAAAGGAGATTTTGTTTGCCAGTAGGTATGTCCCTTTCCTCTGTTGATCTGTCAGCTTCATGTGGCCGCTCTTACCTTTTACCTTATCCTTTTGTATCTGCTGAGTAATTGTTTTTGCAACCGGAAAATGTAGGAATGAGAAGCACAATGAGATAGCAAGAGGTCAGTAATGAAATGGAACATGGAGAAGCAGGAAAAAGCAAAAGGGTGAATACTGCTCTTTGAATGAACAGGACAGTGTTGGTGATACTGCCCACTAACATGTGGCTTGAGTTTGTTAGTAAATCCTACTTGAGCCATCCTTTTCAGCATATACCCTCTGTTACCATACTAGAGGTGCACAGTAATAGCCGTGCAAAGTAAGTTAGAAAAATGATAGCGCCAAATCACTCATTTGTAAGACAGGGCAGGAACTGGTGGTTAGAAACTTCATTTTTAAGTATATGGGAGGTTAAAAACTAATGATGTTTAGTACATAGTATGTCCATCAACTGCATAATCCACTCGTGCTAGTTGCTCCCTAACTTCCAAAGCTTATAGACTGTACATGTTCAGAAGGAGAATGGGGATATACAAAGGATTGGGGGGGAAATGGAGATGAAATCAAGTATGTATACTTCTGTGTGTTCAAAAGCATCTGAAAAAGGTGCAGATCATAAATTTGTAATGTAAATTGGTAATCTCTCTCCTACCAGTAACTTAATTTCGCTTCATGTGAGCTTCACTTTCTATGTTGTAAAAAGATGATTTAATAGGCTCTGTTGCAGGCATGGATTTTGAGGGTAAGGGAACATCATGAAAGTAGAGAAAAGAGTGGTAACCTTTGATGAATCAGCAGAAGCTGGAGTTGGTTTTAACATCCTTAGCACAGCTAAGTGTTGGAATGCAAAAATGACTAACCAGTGTTAAACCTGCAGCATTTTGGTAGTTTCAGTAAAACTGTTGAGTCTAGTGATCCCCAGTATAGAAAGGGCAGCCCTCATGCAGGCAGAAGAGAGCCTGAGCCACCTTCATCCAGCATACACCTGACTTTGGGGGTGATAAAGACTTCCTGAGGAAGGTGTCCCATGTTCGGTGAAGGTGGCAGAGGGGTGCTACAGTGCCCTGTCTCCAGGTAGAAACTACTTCTCTATAAGGTTGTAGTCAGCATACTTCTGAGCAACGAAAAGATGTGAAGGTGCTGTTCAGGTTTGGGGACCAATGGAGATGGGAAGCAAAAATACTCCGTGAGCTGTAAATAGAGATAGGAGCAATAATGGACGCCTGGGCAAGTGCAGAGTGCTGCTTCCTTGGATATATCCTTTCAGCTTCAATCATTTGACAGACCGGTGAGTTTCTTAGCCAGAAACTGCTCTCTTTTTTATAATTCTTGATGGATAGAGTTGAAGACAATTGCACATGTGAAAGATCTCTCATCTGTGTCACAAAAAAGGATATTTATGGGGAAACATGAGGTATTCCCTACTTCTGTTGTAATTTGGATTTCTGTTACTGTGCTAATGACAAAAGTAGAGCTGGTTTACAATTCTATTTGTACCACAAAATGAAAATTGCTGTACTAGGAATATTAATGTAGCTATATTTGTATACTTGGCAACATCAAACTGACTAAATTTATAGATTGTCAGTATAAGATGAATTTGTGTTTACAAAGTTTTATTGGAACTGAGAATCAAAAGCTTTTTTGTTTGTAAGAACTAATAGTCTGTCTTATTAGCCTTCTCATTTTAAAAAACAAATGCTTCATGTCGTTTCATTTCTGCCTCAATTTTGTTCTACCTTCACTATGTGTTTTGTTTAATTCTACTCTAAAGGAGATACAGAAGTATTTGTTGGAGTTCTACGAAACCAATTTTGTTACTACAGTAGGAGGCAATAAGAGAAAAATGTTGTGTTTAGATAGTACTATCATTTTGATAGTATCTGGTGTTCCTCCCTTCTGCGATAAATTAGAAGCTGACTACCTCAAGAGTTCTGATAGTATTTCCAGCAGTGCAAGAGACCATTTTAAGCAAAAGCACAATGAGAGAATCCATTAATCCCAGGGATATTTGAAGTCTGGAGAACTCTTTCATATTAATTTTGAGATAAAGCCTTCAGTACTATCTTGGCTTTGGAAACTGTTTGAAAACTATTGTTGGACAGATAAATAATGGTTGAAATTGAAGCTGCTCACAATACCATGTTTATTGTTGAATTAATTTAACCGAAGCAGTCATTGTTTGTTGAATTAGATCCTAAACATAATCCTGTGCACAAATTGTAGCTTTTAAGACTAAGCATTCCCTTTCTAAAGGGTGTGTGTTTTGGTTTGGGATTTTTTTACATCTTTCGTAGCTGGGTAGATCTCTCTAGAGAAATAGATATGGTCATCTGCAGTTTCTTGTTTTATGTGGAGACTCTTGCTTTTATTCATTAAAAAAATAGCAGCTGTTGAAAATGGCTGCAGTTCTGTCCATTTTTTTAAATAATATTGTTATTTGGGAAGGGTACTAATTTAATAGTTACAGTTATGTCATATATAAAAACAGTACTTGAGAATCACCTTTCGTTTGTAGGCATTTTTATTACATTTGAACTATTACGCTGTACATCTTTTAGTGAGTCTCTTTTGAAGAGTTTCTTTTCTATTGTTGTTTTTCGTATGTTGTTATACGTAATGTCTTGAATATATAATTTTCTATGACAACTGAAAATGCCTTTTCAATTTTCAAGTTGTTTTAGAAATATACCACTTTAGAAGCCATATGGTCTACATTAATTGTTCATGAGAAGAGAAGGCTGACATGATTAGAAGTTATTGTAGCTCATTGGTGTTTTGTTTACAGTGTTCTGATAAAGTGTAGCAAATAATGTTTTCCACACTAATGTATAGCCAGGTAGAGATGAGTTAATGACTTATAACTCCTTTGTGTGGCATTGAAAACAGGGGAAAAAAAAAAAAATCAGCTCTAAGACATAGTAAGCCATAAGAAGTAGCATTGTGGGTGAGAGCGAAAGTCCTGCTCTTCCAGTGACAGGTACTTAGTGAAAGACTACTTTAAAACATCAACAAGCAAACCAGAAAAAAAAAACCAAACAAACAAACCCACAACGGTCCTGCTCTTCCAGTGACAGGTACTTACTGAAAGACTACTTTAAAACAACAACAAGCAAACCAGAAAAAAAAACCCAAACAAACCCACAACAAAATCCAACACAACCTAATGCTATCTTTTTGCATCACCTGGCATCAGTGAGTTTCTTTTATTTTTTTATTTAAGTGTTTTCTGAGCTGGGTGAGCTTGGGACATAATTCAGGACCTAGCACTGCAATTGGAACTGAAGGGGATAAGTTTCCAATATTTATCTGAGGCATGGTTTCCTTCGTTTCCCTTCCTGGGGCTACGATTTTGAGTCATAAAACTTGTTCTGTATCTTTTTTTATTTTTCTTACCCTTTTTATTCCTCTTTAGCTTATTTTATGCAGTTAGAAATTCCAGGCCTGTATAGCGTTTAGATTTATTTGAGAGCCAGAAGTAGCTCAGGGGTTTCTATTGTCACAGAACAAGTTTGCTGCTATCCCGGAGATGTGTTAGACTTACATGTGTAAAAATCTTCCCTTAATACAACTACATACAAGCTTGTCCACTAAACCAATTTTATAGTCAGTGGACACAATAAAGCCCTTCCAAGGCTTATCATCCTAAACTTGTCATCCTAAAGTAGATGTCTAAAATAGGCTGGATTGAACATGTGATTTCAGTCTGAGCATGGAGCTCCTAACAATCCTAGCTCTGATGCAAGTCCAGTTTTGCTGACATCAAAAGCTGGGTGAGATGAATCCCACTCTCAGTATCCCATAATTACAACCTGAATGCTTCACTGTATTCAAATTGTATGGAATTCCCTATTTTCTTTCTTATGAGCCTTCTTCCTTTTGTGTGCAAAATTTGGAACTGATGAATGCAAAAAATGTGTGGTGTGGGGAGAGTTTTGTTCATGTTGTGTCGTCTGTCCCCCCACCACCCCCCCCTCCGCCAGTGTTCAGAGCCTTATTTACCCTTGATTTTGAATTGTCTGGATGTTAGCAGTATGGCCGTGTTGCAGAGGTTTGAGAAAGAACACTATTCAGAAAGAAAAGATCCTCTCTTTTGGAATACTATAAAGAGAAACATGAGCTCTCAGATGGTTGCACCTTCCCACTGTATCAATGGTGAATTAGCTTTCCTTCAGACCTACATGACAGAAGGGCTTTAGCATTCAGCTGACTCAAGCATTCAGTATATCCGATACCCCGTTTACTGTTTTGTGAGGTTCTGTACCATGCAGTCATATTTCAAGTTAGGCTCACAATATTGAGTCGGCTGTTATCTTAATGTGTCTACAACTCTGTGGACACTTGAAATGGTGCACGATGAACTATCACATTGCCTGGATTGCAGGATGCAGTTGTCAGCTTCTGTCTTCTAGTTCATTGCTCATATTAGCAGATGCATTTACTCAACGTTATAAAATTTAAAATAATTTTTATATTAGGAAATTATTCTTAATAGTCTGCTAGTATTGGGTTTATATGTAGACAAGGTGATGCTCCCATCCTACAATAAACTTTTTATTCCCTTTTCAAGACTGGTGTTTTAGAGGAACACTTACGAATGCATCTTCAGTGCTGTTTGACTTTGTGTAGTTCCTGGGACTTGAACCTATCTATTGTCACCATACTCTGGGATTATTACAGCAAGAACCTGGTAAGTAGATTAATATATAAAAATGTAGAGTTGCATGTGGATAGTCCTCAATTTTTAGCAATTAATTCTGTTTCTCCTCTAGCTACACTTTTGTAGAACTGACTAGTCAATAGCAGTATCCCTAAATTTGCTTCATTTATTTAAGAAATCATGTTTAAATATATGTGACATTATGTAATGGACCATAACAATAGAATGCATCATAATATATTTTTACTCTCATTTTTCATCAGGACTACTGTTTTAAAGATCTTGTAAAAACGCTTTGCTCACAGATACAATGCATTTTTATTTTTTGAGTTGTGGTGGGAACGTGTCCTTTTGTTTGTGTGAAGGATTGCATCTTATTGCCTTTGGAATATTAACATTTACTGTTACTTGTCGTCTTTTCTTTTAGAACAGTGGCTTTACCATTCCTTGGCTTGGTCTGAAGGGTCTGGCAAACGTTAGTAAAACTTCTTTGTCAATGCTTGAGTTGGTGAAAAGTTGCTGCTGTGAACAGCAGATCCCCGCCCTGTACGAGTCCAGCAACAGTTACTTGATTTTTCTCAGCATTTTGGCACAGATGATGAAAGAAGAGGCAGAGAACAGTGGCGTGCATCCTTGGAAACAAATCAAAGGACGGTATGGCCGCTATTTGTTTTGTTCCATGTTGTAAGAGGTCTAGTCAGTCAGACTACGTGGCCTTCCAGCCACATACCGAAGCAAGGGGCAGGGGAGTGGTACTGTGCTCATGAGAAAGCAAAGGGGATAAGGGATCCAGGGGGATTCATAATTTGAAGACGACAGTTGTTCCCTGAAGTTTCTGTTGCCAGCTGAGGCTGTGACAGGGTCCAGGAGCTGGGTCCAAGAATCACCTTGGCATCCATAGCCTTTGATGATTTACTTCATCCAACAGGCCAGGAATTTAGTCCACTGGCAACCTATGCAGTGGTACAACACTACTGCCAGACAGACAATGTAATTAAAGCACAGAAAGTCTGTTTGAGCTGTATGTAAGCCATGTGTTGTCCAAGAATATGTAGACTGGCTCTTGCTAGGCCTGAAATTTCATTTATATTTCCATTTTCTTTTTCATGGTTTCCAAAGTTTCTCACAATATTTTTTTTGTGAGGGTTTTAATTTTTCATTTAGTTTTTAGACATACTAATTAAGAGGTACAGTCAGTCATGATACAAAAAAACCCCATAAAATATATATAGTCTACATCAAAATGCTGATGTTTTATATAATTACTGAATCCTTAAAGCTTTTATTATAGTAATTAGATTGTACTGACCATTAAAGGTGCTACCTTCTTTAAAAACTTTTTCGTTGGATATAAAAGACTTAGAATTAGTTTTGGTTTGGGTCTTTTGTTTTGATTTTTAAAAATATTTTATTAAGTATTAATAAAATGATTAAAAATACTTTTGTATGCAAGTAAAAATATATTAAAAATGAACATGTGTATGCACACCTTACAGAGCTACGTGGTATGTTCCTTCCAAGAAAGAAGGGATATCTCTGCTATCAGAAAGGGAAAAGATATCTGATGTCTACATACACTTCATGAGTTGTTGCAGGCAGTAAAGTTCGAGATTAAAAATTACAACTACATAGAAACAAATATGTTGTTGGATGCTGAATCAGTGTCTTGCTTTAGTTAGTAATTTTAATTAGCCTGCTGGTTTTACTGAAAACAAATTATACCTACATTTTTGTGCTATTATAGCTTGTTACTTTCCCTAATTTAAGAGGGGGAATAATAATACACAACACACACTGTGTCAGTCTGCTCAACCAGTATTCATCGTTTCTACCTTGAATAAATCAATTACACAAGTAGCAAAATTTAACAGCCTACAGCTATGATTTTGGGATGAACTCTGTTTTCAGCAGCTAACCAAGCATTAATTGATGCATGAAGAACGTAAATGCCTGTCAGTAGTAATTTACTACTAAACAACATTAATTGGATTTGCTGTAATTTTTGGTGGCTAGATTTGATAACCTCGGCACCATTTCCAACTATTTTTCCAGGTGACAGAATGAGAAAAGAGCATTTATGGATGTTTAACTACTGTATGTGGAACTTACTTAAAATTAAAGGTGAAGGATATACCCAAGGTTTTAAACACACAAAGAAGTTAAGCAAGCCATTTTCATCTTTCTCCTCTCTCGTAGGAATGGTGACATTTATTTAAAAGTCTGCATCTGAGCAAAGGTCACATAAAAGACGCTTATGTAAAAGCTTTCTGCTTTTTCTCAACCACTTTAAAGTTGCAGAGTAGCAGTGCTTTTCACAAACAGCCACGTGTGACTTGAGCACTGTCATATAAGCAATACAGCTTCAAGTTTCTTAACATCTTCCTGCTGGAGAGAGGTTTCTCTCCCAAGTGCCTCAGTTTCCCCGTTTTCTCTCAAACTTGCAGTTCACAGTCCATACAGTAGGCGTGCAATACAGGTTGGTACAGACTTTGGCAAAGCACTATGGAGAAAAGGAGCTTTCTGTCAGAAATCTTCCTCTCCTTTTTACTGCAGTGATGGTTACGTAGGTGAGCCTTTGATCACAGCAGCTTTGGGAGTATAACATAAGAACAGGAATCAGTAGTTAAAGGAAGGAGGGTCCCTGGTCATTTTTTTGAATTTTCTTTATGCCACCTGAAAACAACAGTTGTAGGAAAGAAGTTGTACAGGAATTGACAGATGCCACTGAACAACAAATTACTGCCTTTCCTAGGAGCTCCCATGGGCTAAGTTTGATTGATGTGAAGGCATGGTGTGGTGGACACCCATCACAGACGAAGTAGAGGGAGTCTGTTCATAACGTTGTGCTCAACTTTATACTAGAGGCTGGATAAGGGAGAAGGGTGGTTGAACCTGTGGTTGAAAACTCTGAACATGTACCTTGTATTGGGAATGAAAAATGAAATAGCGTGTTTGTTCCATAGCCAAAAGAGTAGAAGAGGGGAGGGAAAAGAAGATATTTAAAATTTAAGGCTTATTGGAAGAGGATAACTGTAAACTAAAAGCATGAAAATACAATTTTAGTATATCAAGCAGATAAAAAATTGTGTACTTTAGGAAACTTTCTCTTTCCTGTTTTTTTTTTGTTTGTTTTTTTAATGTAGAATTTATTCCAAGTTTCATCGGAGAAGAATGCAGGAGCTGACAGAAGTGGGGCTGCAGAACTTTTTTAGTCTGTTCCTCATGCTAGCAATTGTTGCAGAGACAGAAGATATAGTGAGTCGAGTGTTGGATCTTTTGGATTTCCTGACTCCATCCTCCATCACCATTTCTCAGAGAGCTCTCATTTGGAGAGGTCATTTTGCTTTCCTTTTGATTTACGTTGAGAAGAACATGGACATTAGTGTCCTAGCTGAGAAACTCTCAAATGCTTTCCGTGAGAAGGCAAAGGAGTTTTTAGTAACCAAAAATGACTACACACAGAAACAAAATCTCTGGACTCTACTTTCATCCTACATTGATGGTGTCCAAGAAGTGTTTGAGACCAGCTGCTACTTGAGCCTTTCTGAGGAAAAGTTGCTAAATGATGGCTTTACTATGTTGCTGCCTGCTTGTCGAGGAGCTGAACTGAGTATGGTCCTAAATTTTCTTCAGGTTGTTCTAGCCAGACTTCGGTAAGTTATTTGGTTAACTTGTGGATATAGATGGGCATGTTGCTTTTGTGTTTAGGGTTAAACTGTAGTTCATATTAATTTCATACTGAAATAGAGTAAAAGGAGAGATAAATCTCTGGAGGACTGTGAATGACACGTTAAATTTCAAAATCCACCAATATCTCACTGCATTTAGAATCTTAGAAATGTTTCCTTACTATTTCAAGACATTAGGTTTGACATCCCTGATATTTTGTTATGAATTAGTGGCTCTGTAGAAAGTCATCCAGCTGCTACTATTTCAGACAATACCATCTTCTGGCACGGGAAATTGCAAAATTATTATCTGTACTATAATTACTTAAGTTAGGGGGGTTTGGTGTTTGGTGTGTTTTTTCTTTCTTTTTTTCTTCGGTGAATCCATTCTATTTTTCAGTCTTCATTCTAATTTTTTCTCTTTCACCAAGGTTGCAATCAAATACAACAGTTATGGGGATCTAAATACTTGTCTGGGTTTCGACAGGAAAGAAGGAAATCATATTTTACCACTTTCAAGCAGTTTTGCTTTGATGTACTAGTTCAGTTTTCAACATCCACAGTGCCCTTCAATAAGCATATTTATGTCTACTGATGCCTTTCAGAGGTAGTCCTCCAGTTTGAAGCCCAAACTGCTTTTTTTTTTTTATAAGATATTAAGAGGCAGCTATTGATCTGCCATTACTTCAAATGTGCAAGACTGAATTACGTGGAAATAGCTGTGGAAGAGTGCATAAGAGGAATAGTGAAGCCCATATGCAAGATCTCTCTTTAACTAGGTTCTTTGTTATTGTCTAGTAGTTTGACTGCAGCTGTCAATAGCTTATACATCCAAAGACAACTGTTTCTCAGGCAGTCTTTTGAAAAAAGATGAAGCACAAAACTAAGTTTAGTTGATTTATTATTTATTATTTCGGTTCAACTGAATGTATTTGCTGGAATAAATTGGAGACTTCAAAAATACTCTGACATTTTCTCCATTAGCTAATACACAGCATTTGTTGTGTTGTTTTTAAAGATGAAATACAGAGAAATTTGAGACTGGTGAAAAACTTGCCTATTTCATAACATGGCATTATTTCGAAGCTTTCCAGAACTGGGGGTTGTGTGGTCTCATTGTAACACAGAGAGGAGGGCATATAAGTTCATTACAGACTCCTCAAGTCATTGCAGGCAAGGTACAGGACAGTATTTGTATCTTTTCTTACAAAAAGCAGATCTGCTGAAATACTTGAGTTACCAAGATGCTGGAATACTGATTGATAGGAGAGAGATTGTTAGAGCCATGTTTTTAACAGGTCTTTATTTCAGCTCCTGTATTTATACATGTGGTACCTGCCTATTTATCCCATCTACTGAGAAGCTTAATTCCTTAATGTTTATAAAACGCTTTGATCTTCAGGTTGTATGGAACGGGAAAACGTTACTGGTTCTCTCTCCCACTTTGACAGACTCACTGAAAAACAGTCCTCTGTGGCCATATAAGTAAAACAACGCTAAAACCAGTTTCTTCGTTGAGAAGATTTGGGTGGTGCTGTGCCAACCGTATGTTAAACTATTACTGGCTTAACCAGACTGATTAGGCCTGGTCTGTCTGCAAACTCAGAAAAGGATGAAATGGTTCAGTGCCATTCTGTCTCCTGTTTTTAAAATCCAGGCAGATATAAGATAGTAGGCCTTGCATAAATGTAATTTTTCTGTACACTGCACTCTAATAATTTTATAACTGTATGACAGGGAATTTACAGGTAGGAAGGAAGTGAGATCACTGATTAAAGAGAAAAGCAGCTCCCTCTAGGCTGTTAGGAAATAATAACTTCATGTGCCACTTTCTGCTAACCCCAGATGATGGCTCACAGGAGCATTCTTTATTGCTGATTAAGTAGCATTATGAAAATACTGACTTGGTTACGTTAACTAAATGCCTCAGTATTTAAAGCTTAAAATGTCAAATAGTTTTAGCAGTCCCCTTTAACATATCTTGTTGGATTGCTACAATCGCATTCCAGGTTTCCCAGTTGCTTTTATTTGAGGATACTGTAAAAACGGCAATCTTTCATTTGCAGAATGAGGGGTAGCCAAAAGCTCTTCCTTAATTATATCTATTCATGCTGCTATGGTTAAGGGTCTGTCAGCATTTCCATTATAAACCTTTATTTTCAAGGGTTTGTAGCATAGCAGTGAAAACTTGCTCTGGGCTAAAACTTGGCATACAAGGTTTTGAAAGTGCGCTTGTTTTCTTCCTTTCTTTTTTCTTAAAAGGCATCTGAAAAGAGACCCCCACCTTCACCATTTTTACACTACTGTGTTTTAAAATAACCCTTTCCAGGTTTTTCTTGTATTTTTCTTGTCTGCTAGAAAAGTACTGGTAGCTTTTGGTTGTTGTATTTACCTACGCTTAGACTGTTTTAAATAAGCTTTTTTTAAACCACATTTTCTTTATTATCATTATGATTATTTTGGTGTCAATATATTTAAATAGAACCATTACTTGGCAGGAGAACTCATTTTTTGATATGTAGTGAGTGGATAATTGGAAACAAGATTCTACTTGCTTGTACTTCCAAGTATTTGATCTTCATAGTGAGATTCGGGATGAAGTGTAAGATTGTATTTTAATACAGTCTTCTTTTTAAAAACATATGTAAAATAAACAGTAAACAATCAAGAAACTCCCCAAAATAAAAATGCAAAGTGCTTCCTTCCTATGTTTACTTGGAGCATTCAGCTTCTATCTCAGATATAAGTTTTTCCTTTACGTTTTTGTTTCTGTTTTTAAGCAGTGTTTTAGAATCCCGATTTCTTTTTTCTTCTTAATGGTAATGCAAGATGCTTCTTTCTTCTTAAAGGTACATGCAGGATGCTTGCCCATATGTGTTTTCATTTGTTCCAAATCTCTAGCACTACCCGTCATCTGAGTGCCTCGTGACACAAAAAGAAACCCTAGGTTAATAAAAATACAGGCATTTAATGGATTTGACAGAACTTGCTGTAAAAATTGACACAGACTCGGAGAAATCTGCTGAGTGCCTGGAAACAGTAGGTCCCAGCATTGCAATATGTTATTCTGAAAAGAAGTGCTTGAAACATGTTAAAATGCCTTTTATTGTAATCAGGTATTGCTCTGACATGAGCTTTCTCTCATTATCATCATCCTGGCATTTGGGTTTTGTAGTGTATTAGCACTGAGTTACAGGATTAGAAAATGCACTTACATGCCCAGGTATAAAATCACGGCTGTACTCCAAACATCTTTGCTTAGTTTCTGGGAGACATGCTGTTGATTCCCATCAGAGAAATGAAAAGTACCACAAACCTAATAACATAATAAATGGTAATTTTATTTTGAAAACAATTCTTGCGTATTTATGCCTGTTTGTACTGTTCTGCCAGTGTTGAAGGGCATGAAAAGTTATTGAAAATTTCAGTGTGTAAATTTCATAAGCTCTACAGGAATACTAATCAGGTAAACCTGTCTCTAGTTAAAAGTTACATTAATAATTGGGCCATGGATAACAGCAGAACTGGATGTTTCTATCTGTTATAGTGTGTCTAGCCTTGAGGTTGTGAGAGAAATCACGATAGGAATGGATTATCCAGTATATCTTTGCTATGGAAATGTATAGTCATTTGTAATTTTTTTTTTGGCGTTATACTTGCCATCAAAACAGCCTGTGGGAAGCTTTCCGAGACCAACAGAAGCCTCTCCCCCTCTCTGTTACCGTGTAAGTCAGCAGATAAGCTCAGGAGGAGAATAGAAAGGTCCTCCCCCCTCCCTCCTTCTTTCTTCCCCCCTTAGGGGTTTTAGTGTTAGTCTTTGTAAAATGTGTTTTCTGATGTTGAACTTCTGAAAACTGTATCCAGAAGAGTTTGGAAGAGCATGACTCTTCTCTTACCCATCCCATCCCGTGAGGATATTTAGAGCTACTGGCTGTGATGTCCTGATAAGCGCAGAGGGCAACTCTGTGACTAAACCACTGAGCCGAGAGTCAGTTTGGCACTAAGATCTCCCAGCCATAATGAATGACCATTAGAAAGTCAGTAAAAGTTGCTAGGAACTTTGTTTACCTGTGTGGAAAAGGAAATAAGTCCTTCCTTTTTGACTTCACAACATAGGTCTTACAATTGGGGAGCAAGCATGCCTTGCTGTGCTAACTTGATCTGTGGTTTAAAGTATTTTTGGTTGGTTTGGGTTGGTTTTTTTTAAGTTGTTATGCCATTAATAAAACTGGTATTTGAATCAGTGTAAAGAAAAACTAGTCTCTAAATGCTTCAAAGCATGGGAAGCAAGCACTGCTTTAGACCGTAACAGCATTTTGAGAGGTTTGCTATGTCCAGATCTTTAAAGTAGTCTGTTGCCATGTTCTTTGGGAATACTGGATGTGTTCTTAGCTACAGTTGTTGCCTTAAGGTGTGGCTCTGGCAATGAAAACTGAATTTCTTTTCTCTTCCTCCTACTTTATGTAAGATTTGAGATTATTTTTTTTTCAGGATTTTTTTTTTTTTTTGCATAAAATAATGGATTTTATACCTTTGTCCCTTGTATTCTGATCTTCGGAGATGACTAGCTAAAACTGACGTGTTTTGATTGTGTATCCTCTGCTCTGAGAATATTACTATACAAAAGAATTAAATGAGATAGTGTGCACTGGAGCTGTGTACCTAATACACAGAAACTTTCTATAAGCAAAGTATGTCTAGCACTGGTTCAGGTTTGCAAGAATACTTCACTTCTCACTGTCTGTTTTCTCAAATCAGTTGGCAGCCATGGAGAGCTGAATAATTGATTAAAATCAATTTCATATTGGTGTTTAAAATGTAATAGAGAGTATCTGCCTTAAAAGGAGGGTGATAAAGTTGGTGAAAGGGCTGAAAGGCATGTCCTGTGAGGCTTGACTAAGGACTTTGGGCTTGTCTAGTTTGGAGAAAAAGAGGCTGAGGTGACCTCATTGCTCTCTACAGCTTCCTGAGGAGGGAAAGTAGAG